TGGGAGCCATTCATCTAGAAAGAATTACTAGGGCCTCTAGAGACGGAAACAATATTTAGACAGTGAGGAACCTTTTAAAATAATTATGTCCAGCTTCTACTGAACCACGGTGAATAACATCAGGTAAACAGCCTGTCACAGGCAACACTCTGTCCCTGCTGTTGCTCATCCTTAGTTTTATCTTTGTATCTTTCTGTGGCCAAGAGGCCTTAAATTGAGGCCCACTAGTTTAAAGACCATTTTATTTGCATCTACTGTTTAAAAAAAAAAAAAAAAAAAAAAAAAAAAAGCTGAGTTACAGCTCGTATTCTGTAAGGTCTTGCTTTAGACGGATGGAACATACTTATTTTAGCAGCCCATAATACCACATTCTAACAGTATAAGAAAGTCCCTCACCACAGAAAATCTTCCTGTATAGACGTGTTCAGAAAATAAAAACAGGAAGTTTCCCTAATGATATCCATTACTTAAAAACATTCACTTCTTTTGGCATTGATAATGAATAGGTTCAGCTTTCCTCTGTATTTTCTTTTTCAGCACAATCTGCTGAGAATTAAGATTGTCACAGACATTCCAGACCAGCTCTTTCAGCCCCTACTCATCATATCAATATTCTCCACATTTTTCAGAACTTTATTTTCATTAAATCAGAGCTACTCATGCCCTGCAAGCCTGACATACTTTCATCATAGCTGGATCTGGTCTACTATGGTTACTTAACTCTCTTCCAATTGCTTCTGTGATTTTCCTCTCTGTATTCTTATCCTAGCCAAATGCAAGCCAGGCTTATCAGGGTGGAGTACAGTTCCTTGCTTCAGGAATGCTTCAGAGCTACTTGAATATAGCCAGAAAATAGCACAGTAGACTTTCAGTGCTAAAGGGTGCAGCATTTATAATCAAGACCTGGCATTTGAAATGTTGCCATGGCTTCATCAGTCAGGCAGCCTGCCAGCTGAAATAAGGTGTTCTGTGCAACCTCAGCCTGAGGTGGGGAGATCCCCTGTTAGACACTGAGATTTTACTGGCTATGTCTTGAATTTTATGCCTGTGGGCTGTTCCTCATCTTCACATGGTGACAGTGAGGGCCGCTTCACATCTCTAAGTAAGTGATTCTCCCATCAGAAAAACTGAAACTTCAGAGAGCTTCTCCTTTTCTTTTGGAAAAATAAAAAGTTACAATGCAGTTTCCATAATAGTCTCATTTTTGCATAGCAGGGCTCAGCACAGGCCATGGCCTTTTTCTATTACTACTGAAAGCATACACCAAAAAAAAAAATCATTCAAAATATTTGTCTCTCAAAAAACCTATCTAAAGCTCCACCACTGGCAACAACATGGCAACAACACAGACCAGCCCAGACCTATGGATGTTCTTTGAACCTTTACTGCTTGGCCCCTTCTTAGCCTGCTGCCACCCATCTCAGTGCCAGCTACCTCAGCCCAGGAGCTCTGCAGGGCTTTGTCTGCCACCTAAACCAGAGCCAGCCCTGGGGGTCACCAGGAGCCCGCAGCACCAGCTGCCCGCAGGTTTGCCTTCATGCAGCTCTGATGAACTGCCCGGTTCTTGTGCTTTTCCCACAGACAGCCCAGATGTTTTTGTCAGTGCTCTGCACCCTGCCCAGGGCCTGGGCTGGCCCCAAGGACAGAGCTGCAGCTGCCTCTCTTGCTCAGCTCAGCTGCTATGGCCCCAAACAGTGTCATGCTGGGAGTGCTTTCTGCGCTTGTTCTCCTCTCCTATACACACAAAGGGTGCCTAAAACTTACACAAGCGGCTACAACAAAGCAAGAAGGGCACAGGCAGTGAGCCAAACTTGGTTCACTCTGACGATAAGGCAGCAAATTGCAACTGCTCGGTGCTGTAGGAAGTCCCTCCCAGTAAGTCAATAGAGGGAAACTCAGATAATGTGAGGGTTTTAAAGTAAGGTTACCTTAAAAATAATGAAATTGCAGCTGTTACATCTCCCAAGACTTCCACACAAACAAAAAAAGAAAATATTTGTTTTGGTCAAAAGATATTTCTTTTTTCTTTTTTTCTGCAGACACCAGAACATGATCAGACTATAAATCTTGATGAAAATATATTTTTACTGACTTCACATGTCATGGCTCAGTTACATCACATTATAATGCTGGCTAAAAACACAGAGAGGTGACCAGGAGAAGCAGCAGCTGCTTGCTCTGTATTTGTTGATAAAAAAGAGATCCTTCTCCTCACAGACTGGGCCCAGGTCTGGTTCCAGCCTTTGCAGTCTGACTCTGTCTCCCACATCTCCAGCAGTTTGCATTTGCATACTTGCAAATACGACTTGTCGTCACTAGAAACTGTAACTGGGGGCTGTTCTCTTCCCACCATTAGAAACCATCTCTGACATGGAACACAGCGCTGAAAAGGGAATTCCTAAGCAGTGAGAATGGAAGACATGGAACATTTCCAGATGGGGACAGCAAAACAGTTATTGCAGGTTTCTTGACAGTATTGGCTCCATTCATAAACACATCTCATTACCTACCAAGGTTTATACAGCTGTCTTATAAAACTGAGCAAATTATACAGTCACATATTTGCTATTACAAGGTTGTCTAAGATACCCATTAATCTGCTCAAGGTAGGGTGATAACACCTCTTATTTCCAGATTTTTGTTGCATTTCCTGAAAAGCTGAAGACTGGATGTAGATTCATAAATACACACCGAACTGTAACGGCTGAGCTTTAGCAAACAGCTCAAGACATTCTGAAATGGAGAAAAAGATTATTTTCTCACAGAAACTCAAAATAAAAATGTATTTTATGTTTCTCACTGAAAAACAATTCTGTTTCCAGACAAGTCTTCCCCCCCTGCACTAATAATCTCAAGAAACTAGACTTGAAAAAATAAATTACCTGACTTAAAGTATGCAAGGAAATGTATTTTTATAAAGTGCTTCTTAAAGATCTCAGGGATGGTGACATGTGAGTGACCACTGAAGAATGTTTCAAAGCCATTTCAAGACTGAGGTGAGCACAGGATCACAAATGCTGTTTCCAAGAAAATAATGACAGGGATTGCAACAATTTGAGCACTAATTTATTTACTATAGCCTGCAATAAATTAATAATTAAGTTTTGTGAATCTCAACAACTGTAAATAGTTTGGACACATACAGGGCTGAAAAATGAGGTGTATTGGAGTGTATCACATGCACAAAGGACACATGATGACAAGTCATTTGCAGCCCATGGGAAATGTCACACATCACTTTGTCTTCTTGTTATGAATAAGAAGCTTGACTAGGCCAATATTCAAGCAGCAATTTAGTATTTAATATGGTAAAGTATGAGCAATACAGCGCTGGGTACAGTGGGGGAAGTTTTCCCTCCAACTGCACACCAATAATTGATGGTTACAGGTATTTATAGGGGTACTTATCAGTTTTTTTCAGCAGTTTCTATTTCCAATTTTTTACTCATCAGCAATTTTTATTCCAAATTATTACATCACAATTCTATACACTATTGTGATTTTAATCTCTCAGGATGTGTTTCAAAGGAGTATCCCCAGATGGTGACGGTCCAGTTTCCATAAGAAGAAAGACAAATCTCATCTGGTGGAGTCCAGCTCCCCAGATATGTGTACCTTTTAATTGCAGAGACTATAAATCTCATAACAGTGATGTCCAGCTTCCCTTTGGTCGAAACCATAAATCCTTGAGATGATGTTCATCTTCCTTTCTCAAGCTGTTTTTCTCTGCTTCAATATGGCATGAGATAAGCATATTTCCTTTATATATATTCCAAAGCTATAGTTTCAAGGATACAAGTAATATTCTACAATTATACTTCAAAAGGTTATTATTGCAGAGCTTTTTATGGATTAAATGCAAGCAAAAAAGCAACATCCTTAACACCTTAATTCCAATGCTCTTAATTCAACCAGGGTTAATTGCAAACAAAAGATAGGTTCAAAAGCCTTTTTCCGTGCTTTATTTTCCTCAGTTATTAATAGAATTCGCAACTATCCCATTGTCGGTGTCCACATATTTCGCATTGACAAGTACACATGTCGCCTGTTTGTACTTGACATGAAACACAGCTTTGCATCTCACATTCTCTGCCTGGCAAAATCCCAAGCACATCATTCCCAGTGCCCATCGGCCCCATGGCACTTTGGTGGTTTGCTTTCTCTCTTACGTCCACTCCTAAGGCCATCCTCACATGGGGCTTCCAGATCACAGGACACAAGCAACCGGCTGTACTGGTGATGAGGATCCGGCTCCATCGCTGGTAACACCGAGAAGGCAAAGCACAGCACACAGCCATGTCAGCAGGGCCAGGCAGGGACTGTCCCCGCGCTCGCACTGGGGAGGCCACACCGCGAGTGCTGTGTCCAGCTCAGGCCCCCACGCTACAACAAACAAAGCGAGGGGCTGGAGTGTGTCCAGAGAAGGGCAATGGAACTGGGGAAGTGCTTGGAACACAATCCTATGAGGAACAGCCGGCAGCTGGTGGTGTTTAGCGTGAAGACAAGGGAGGGTCTTGTGGGACCTTGTCACTTTCTACAGCTCCTGAAAGGAGCTTGTAGCCAGGTCGGGGTCGGCATCTTCCCCCAGGTAACCAGTCACAGGACAAGATGGCATAATCATAAACTGCACCAGGGAAGGTTATGGTTGGATACTAGGAGGAATTTCTTCACAGAAGGGGTGACTGAGCACTGGAACGGTGGTGGAGTCACTATCCCTGGAGACATTTGAGGACAGACTGGACGCGGCACTGAGGAGGCACTGAGTTGAGTGCCATGCTGCAAATGACATGGGGGCGTTCGATCATAGGCCGGACTCGATGATCTCGGAGGACTTTTCCAACCTAACAGATTCTGGGATTAGTCCCGCTACGTCTCTAGACTGCACGGCTCCCTTCCTGCCCCAGGCGGGACGCGCCCAGCCCCGAGCCGTGGCGCAGACGGGCGGGAGGAGGAGCCGGCGTCGGCCGTGGCTCAGAGGCGCCGCGGGCGGGGGCGCTGAGGGGAGGTGGGGCCGCCGCCCGCCGCCATTTTGGCTGGTTTGCGTCGCTTCCGCCGCTGGAAGTAAACAGAGAGCGAGGCCAGGGAAGGAGCGAAGCAGCGACGCGGGCGGGACGGGACGGAGCGGACGGTCGGGCGGCGGAGGCGGCGCTGGGGTCGGCTTTGGCGGAGAGAGCTGATGTGGCCGGAGCGGAGGCGCCAGCGCGGCCCGAGCCCCGGTTAATGCGAAGCGCAGCAGGGAGCCGCCAGGTGCTGGGGCGGGAACGGGAGGGCGGCTGCGCAGGGCACCATCCGCGGGGTCCCGGGCCCCAGGAGCGGGCTCCGAGCAGCGGGGGCGGCGGAGCTCGGGGCCTGCCGGGCTGTCCGAGCCGCGCGCCCCGGGCCGGGGCTGGGCCGGAAGGAGCCGACCCTGAGGGGAGCCTTCTCCGGGAGTAGCGAGAGATCCTTAAATCCTACTCGGTGTTTGGGGTCGCTGCCTCGCAGCTTTCCCCTGATAGCGGTAATCGGTCGTGGAAGCCTCGCTGTGTCCAGCGGAGCAGGTTGTTTGCGGCAGGGAAGGGTTGGGCTCGCCCCTTCTTTCAGCCCCTGCTCCCCTTCAGCGCATTCCTGGTGTTCCATGAACAGCGGGGCTGAGGCAGAACGAGCTCGGTTGGACAGGCTTTCGGAAAAGCCTTATCAGTCGGGTGCAAACAGTTTGTTTTGTTTGGTTTTAGCTGTGGGGTGTTTTTTGTTTTTTTTTTTTTTTTTAACTGCCGTTGTGTTCTGGCTGCACCTTACTCGGCAATAAAAACAATGTTAAGCACGTGCTTTGCTCCTCCTCCCGCTGCTCGGTGGCTGAACTGTGTGATTAGGGTTGGACATGACTATTGCAAACAAGATAGCAGCCTGGGTTGCGCCCAGGTGCGGAGTTCAGAAACGAGTCCTTATAACAGGCGGAGAAATTTACTTGGAAAATCTTAAAGAGTGAGGCACTCACCCGGCTTTCACCCATCTCTCTGCCCCCCATAGAGTTGGGTGGTTTTGGGGTTTGTTTTCCTTACTGGCAAAATCTTAGCTGCTAAAGCAAAGTTGGTTATAGCAGCAGTTTGAAAAACAGTGATATGTGTGTGTCCTGAGTGTGCCAGAGAGAGTTAAAAGCAAGATTGATGGTTCCTGCGTTTCTAAGAAGTGATAAGCAATCATTCCTTGAAAAGTAGGTTTTACTCATACAGTAATTTGCTAGTATGGAATTTTGCATCCATGTCTTCCGTGTTGAAAGTTGGCCTTGGGTTTCAAGTGGTCGGATCTTTAAATTACTGGATACATAAAGCAAAGTGAATTGAACTTCTAATTGCATTGCCTGCTCTTATGTTAAATGTCCAGAAAAGTTTTCTCTCTTAAGCAGCCTTTTAAAAGTAAATATATTTTCAGATACCTCTGTAAACTTCTGCAGGCAAATATGCATTCTTTAAATTTCATATTTTTTATTGTTGGCATATGAAGAGGTTGAAAGCAGTTACATTTTTTAAAAAGTAATTTGATACTTTAAGTTCTAAAATGAGAACTCAAAAATTAGATGAACAAATTGGTTAAAAATCAGATGACAAAACAGTCACGCAGTTCTTAAAATAATATGTTTTAGTCTTGAGCTTAGGCACTTTTTTCCTTTGGAAGAAGTTTGCCAAGGAAATACTTTTGAAAGGTTTCAAAAATCTTAATCTTGACCTCTTTAAATACAGTAACAAAAAAAGTTGTCTGGAAATGTGATTTTTTCCCCCCTCCCTTGCTTTAAGTCATGGCCTTTAGAACATGTAACTTCTTATTTTCTTGGAAGAAGAAAATATTGATATACCTCTAAGGAATGGCTGTGTTGTCATTTTGTTTTTTAAGTTGGCTGTTTACAGAAATGTGGGACAGTATCCCGCAACTTGCATGAGTGGGATTTGGTGGAACCAGCACACATTAACTACTTCGAGCTCATCCCAGGTAGCTCAGAGGTGCGCAGTGAGACCTGTCACTGACCTGGTCCACTCCTGTCAACACATCCCACAGGCTTTTTTTCCAGAAGAAAAATGAATGTGGTTTTGTCAGTGGCAGCTCCCTCCTGGTCTTCTCTGAAAGGGAGACAAAAAAGAGGGGGGAAAATACCCCCAAACCCTACTTTAATGCAGTGGTAGAAGTAGCCTACCTAACTGGAACTTTTATGCAGATTTAGTGCCTTGCTAGCAAAAGATGAGACAGGATCTCTGCAAGGAGGACTTGGAGAACCCAGTCTAACAGTACCTTCTGTAGCTTTTTACAGATGGCTTTGGAAAGACTTGGACATCAAACAGGCAAGCCTGAATTTGGCAAGTTAATAGCTTGCCTGTGGTGAATGCTCCTTATAACCTAGTTGTTTGGAATATCTGTTTAGCCCAAAGCTTAAACTAATGTTGCATTTCAGACTAGCTTATTATAAATATTGTTCTTGCACTATGCTGAGTTATTATCTCTAATGGCAACACGACAGGCTTGCAGTGGATTTGCCAATTAATTCTTGATTAATTTTAAGTTGAATTCCATTTTCACGGTTGCAAAATCCAATTCCTGTATATTTTTGTTAGTTGCAGATGGTTCTGAGTCACTGTGCGGTTTTCTTGCTTTTCTTCGCTGATGAAGTGGCTCAGCAGCAGAGCTCTGGCAGAGAGCTTGTTCCAGCACAGGAATTGTGTTCTGCACAGTCCCATAGACGGGAACTGAATCACGGAAAACAGTTCTCAGGAAGCAAGTAGAGATGTTTGCCCAGCACTGTTTTCATACTCTGCTTGCCTCCAAGTGTGCTGGGAGTGAAAATAGGAGCTGAAAAAAGGGAAGACAGATTTTCTTCATCAGTCTTTTGTGACTGTGTGTTCAGGTTTCTCTGCATCATCTTATGAGTGGCATTAGACCTTGAGTGATAGCTTGCTTCTGTCATGTGAGTAGCTAGGATTAAAGCCTTTGAAAGGTAGGTAGGGAGGTGCTGCCTTTGAGAAAGTAATCTGTGATGCACTGGATTATGAACAGTATAATTTTTAGCTGGCATTTTGTTTTAGGAAGTACTTCCAGACCTAGTGGCAGTACGTAGCAGGGAAATGTAACTTTCCAGATCCCAGGAGGGATCTGGGCATGTGATAACCCTAGACATGTAATTGTGCTTGAATGTTAAACCAGGATGATTTCGCTGTGTATGAAGTCCTTTTTATCTTCTAGAAACCAGGGAGGCTGGGTGTGCTTTATATGTCAGGCTCACCCTGCCCCTGGATTCTCTCAGCTCTTTGGAGACTGGAATTGAGCACATTGTAGTTCAGTACGAGGCAGCAGAGCTCTTTAGGGCATCACACTGAAGCTTTTAAAAATAAATGATCAGATGCCAAGTTCACTTGTAAGATGGCATGTACAAGAGAACATGTTTGGATTAAAACCCAGTGAGCCCTGGATGTGTTTCAGATATATGTAGTGATAAGGGTCTTTTTCTCTCCAATAATGTAATGTAAGGTAGAAGTTAAGTGATGTAATTATGGCAAAAGCATGTGCTACAACCTTTTGCTGCAGGCTTGCTGAATTTAATACAATTTTGAAGAATTTTTTCTGGCCCTTCTCTAAATTTCTTTTGTGGGTTGAAACTTCCAGACTGTTACTGGAAATCTTCTGTGATGCCTATTTACTAGTTAGCTGGAAAAATGAAAGCACACCGATGGACTTGATGAAATATCTTTTCAAGCTTACTGATTTAAAACAGATGCCTATTAAAGCAATGTATTTTAAATAAATAAATTTTAAAAGAAAATATTCTTTCTTTTTGAAAAAAAAAATTATTTGGTCTGATGCAACATTGCAATGTGCAGTGCTTGCAAGCATACATTTAGTAATTATTTACTTCCTTGCTTGATTTTTATCTCTACAGTTTCAGGTGTAGTTCCTAATAAATAGGACTGGGCCAGGAATATTTATGTCAGTGTTCAAAAAATTGTTTAGAGGATTATCCTTCCATTAGTAGAACAGTAGAGTAATAATCAACAACACAGTAAAACAAATTAGGTTCAAAGTGTTCTCAAACACACAAGTGAAACACTGAAAAGAGAGTGACTGTTATAAATGGGTTGGCACTGTTAATGATTAAAGAAGTAATAGTAAAGATATCAGTTTAGATGGTAATATTATTTCTGGTCTGCCATTTTGGTTTGTTACTTGGGGTTTTTTCCTTTATATATGGCAGGAAAAAAAACTCTGCCAAGGTATTGTTGCATAAAATACCCTTTTTCAACTCCACAGTTGCTAGTAATATTGTTCTCAGCTCTTTTACATTTACAAAATAAATAATTTTTTTGTTACTTCTATAGAATGAAACGAGGAAGGACAACTAATGAGGCCAACAGCAGTTCATCTGAAGACACAACTGAGAAGGAATCCAAGAGACACAAGATTGTAGAGAAGAAAAGCACAGTTGTGCAGAGTCCTGACTGGGCAAACCTGCTCCAAGACATTATCCTGCAGGTGTTCCAGTACTTGCCACTTCTGGATCGTGCTCATGCATCCCAGGTCTGCAGGAGCTGGAACCAAGTGTTTCATATGCCTGATCTCTGGAGGTGCTTTGAGTTTGAGCTGAATCAACCAGCCACGTCAAACCTGAGGACTACACACCCTGAACTAATCAAGCAAATAATAAAGAGGCATTCCAATCACCTGCAGTATGTTAGCTTCAAGGTAGTGTGTTTTATAGGCTTTTTAGAAGTGACTTTTATTCTAAAAGAAAGAGGGCAGCTGTCAGTGTGGTAGGTGGCCTTGTTTTCAGGCTTAATAGATGGAGGAAATGGATTCTCTAAATGGACATGTGAACATGGAGGTTACCTCCCAATTAATTTGTTTGGGTATATTTTGAGGACCAAAATTTGGAATAACAGTATTGAACATACCTTTTCATTGTCTTTCTTCCGTTAGATGGGAATTTTTTTGGCTGGTGCTGTGGTTTGTTTGGGGTTTCTTGTTTGTTTTTGTGAGTCCTTTGTTGGTATGTTTTTGGGGTTTTTCGTGAGTTTTTTGTTTGTTTTCGACTTTTTTGGTTTTTTGAGGGTTTTTTTGTAGCAGTTCAGCTGCTTAAAATTCTGCTTCATAGAGTGGACAGAAATAGTTGTGATGTGACTGCATCTGTGGGTTACTGCCTCAGAATGAAGTTCAGTCAGGATGCCTAAGTTGTACGTTTCCCCATTTCACGTCCTGTAGGTACTTGGCTCTAACATTGATGGTTAGAAAACATCTAATGCACACAGAGTGACTTCAGTACTGCCAGGCATCAACTAGCAGCTTTAATCTTAAATTGTATGGGACTGTCTGTACTCAGTGCCGCTGTGTTTCAGGGGACTGAGAAAGTTTGTGTGGTTTGCACAGGATGGTGCGTGTATTCGCATTGTGGAATTATTTTCAGTATATGAAAACTTCTAATGTGGGCTTACATAGCAGTGTGTTTTGGAATGGTGTTGTGAGTCTCCTGGCTGCATATGCATCAGCTGTGTGAGAAATTTGGAAAGGAAGTGTGTTCTGCAGCAAGTTCAGCATACTTGTGTCTGGGATCAGGCAGTTCTAATGCTGGAATCATCAGCATGTGAGGAGCTGAGTCACCTCTAGCTGATCACATGTATTGCTACTGCTTGCTTGCAGTACCAGATACAAACTGTTACCACGTGGTTTGCAGGGCCTTTATCAGCATCCAAATAAAGAAAACCTGGGGCTGTAGTGGAGTGACCTCCCAGTGTCTTATCTCCTGTCTGTGTTGCTTTACGCCCAAGGAATTTTGGGTGCCCTTTGCTGGTAGGGTGATCCATCATTTCTTCCGTGTGTCACTTCAGTTGTTCCAGTGCTGTAGAATGCACAAGGAAGTGGGTGTAACACTCACCTGTCCTCTCTAAAGGCTGAAAATAAGAGGGGTGTTTGCTGTAGGCAAAGGATTAGATTGTTGAAAATCAAGGTTTTTCAGCTTGTGTTTGAGCAGAAAATGAATGTGCATTTGACTTAATCTGTTGCTGCCAAGGTAGCATGGCTTACAGTGGAGTTAAATTTGATCCTGTGATCAAGCTTGATACTGTTCTGTAGGTCTGCAGAGCTGTCATGGCTGCTGTGCATTCAGAAAGCACATCTGAGTGTCAGGGGAAGTCCCCTGGAGACACTCTAAGTGATTTTGGTGGGCAACAAGCTGACTAATGAAGGTTTTGGGATTTGTGTTGGTTTGCTTGGTTTGGTTTGGGTTTTTTAGAGTATCCATTGCATCTCTTGTGGTTTTAACAGTGAAGGGCCAGTCACTTGTGTACATATGATAATGCACTTAACTCTCCAGCAGCTCAGTTTTATGAACTGAGGCACTGTAAAAAGAAGTGGCTTTTGCACATAGTAAAAGATTTATAGAATTCTTGCATTTTGGTAAGGAGGAATGTAAAGAGGAAGTGGAATAGGCTCTGGACCCTCCACTTGCTTGTTGTTTGATATGGAATGAGTATCTTGGAACACACTGTTTAGCTAACCCCTCACCATGCTATATTTTACTAAAGTGTTTAGAAAAGTAGTAAATTTATAGCAAATAGTCTTGAATTTTTGATTCATACTTTTTGGGGGAATAAAGAATAACATTGATGGATTCACAATGAGAGGTTTTTTTTACATCACATTTCAGAAGGTAAAGTAAAAAAAAAGTTAAAAGAGTGTATTTGCAGTGCATTCTGAACACAAAATTCGTTTTGTTTTAAGGTGGACAGTAGCAAGGAATCTGCAGAAGCAGCTTGTGATATTTTATCACAGCTTGTGAATTGCTCTCTGAAAACACTTGGGCTAATTTCAACTGCCCGGCCAAGCTTCATGGATTTACCGAAGGTATTTTATTATGTATATTTTCTATTGCAAAGTATTGCAGTGTTTCATACAGTACTTCTGTAACTTTATCAAAAGCTCTATAGTAGGAATATGAATCTTGGATAAAGAAAAGTTTATTAGTGGTCTGGCCTCTAATAAATGGACGAACTGATTTGAACAGTGATGGATGTATGGAATTCCATTCAGTCTGTGAATCATTTGAGAGCGTAGGCCTGACCTTGTTCTTTCAAGTCCTCCTGTCTGTTGACCTCAATGTAGTGCTGAGCAGCGTGGTGCAGGTTAGACAGTTCAGGTCTGTGTAGTTGTGTTGTGGGGTTTGTTTAGGAGACAGTTACAATCAAATGATTGGTAGAGTTTTATCCATGTGGACTTGCCATAGGGCTTACAAATCTCTTCAGAAAGAAATAGGATCATGATTTGCAGGGCTTCACATGAGGCAGTCAAGCATTAATGTCCTTGGTGAAGTGCACTGTATTTCTGAAATTTTCAGTCAAGATTTTTGCCTTGCATGTTTACCAAAAATCAGATCTTGTTAGAAACCATTTAATCTGGATGACAGATCTCTTACATGTGCTTCTAGAGAAGCATTCCTGGTAGTGAGGTGGAACTGTAGTATTGCTAAGGAGCAGGGGAGTGGTTGTGAAGGGCCAAATACAAATAGACTGTTAGCTAGATCTCAGTGATGTCGTGGCTGCTGATGGCATAAGGACAAGGAAGAACTAGAGACAGCCTTGGAAAGGGAACGAGGCTGCAGGTGAGGTTAGCTGCAGAAGGGTTATCAGTTATTATCCTTGCAGTGGTCACTGTCATGTCATGTAGCTCTCTTGAATGTGTTTTTAACTGATAATTTTCAAAGAGGCTTTTCAGATATTTAACTAGTTTTGCTCTGATTTTTTTTTCCTTTCCTGATGTTCTTTGAGGTGTGATGATAAGAAAACCTGAATATAGTGAAAACAATCCAGTGTGTTAAAAGTACTTTGTCCTTTCAGCTGTTTCTTACTGCTTTCTTGATTAATCTGAGTGCTGCTTTAGATCTCTTAGTTTTCACTGGAGGGATATATTAGGGTCACGTCTAGCTTGCTGAGTAATTACTTGTAATTGTTCATGCTATGTTCTTATTCAGCTTCAAGGCTTACAAAGCACGGGCTTCCTTTTTTTGTTCTCATTAAGTTCACATTTGATCTTTAAAAAAATAGATTCAAAATAAGCCAAAATTAGCTTTAAGGATCATTTGCCTTTTGGTGCTTACAACTTCAATAATTTTGTCACTTGCATAAGGGACAGCTAGTGAAACTAAAGAATTTAATTTGGCCATGACTGAATTCTTGTGGGAAGCTGTTAGTGACAGGTCCATTTGATGAAAAGCAGAAAAAGATGAATTAATTTGGAAAGTGGTTAATACTTTGCTGTGGTTTGAGATTTTTTTTGGTGTGGTGGGGATTTTTATTGTTATCAAGACTGAACTACTTGGCATTATCTTCATCAGTGCTCTCTTGTTGTCAAGTACCTGACATGTGGCAAATACCTCTGACTCATATTTAGAGTTGTGTTGCCTGTCTTTTCATTAAGTACATCGTAGGTGAGTAGAATCTGTAAAAAAAAAAAGGGATCACACTGCAGACTACCGATGTGACAATACTGAAAAGACCAGCTTTTACATGTTGGGATATTTCCTGTTAGCTCTGCAAACTAGAAGGTTCAAGTTGCCTTTTTAAATAAGTGTGGTTAGCTTGCTTTGCCTTTCTATTGAACGGCCTTCTTTTTCTAAATACAGAGAATAAAAGCACAGTACTAACATTCTCATAAGAGAGAATTGAAATAATACTAAAGCATCTTTTGTGTACATAACACATGCAAGCATACTGTCAGGATAGTTGCAGTGGTCCCTAAAGCCAAAGTGTGTAAAGATTCTGAGTTGAACTTCCTGTTTCCATTTGCATGAGCTGACTTTGAAAGTTTGTGTAAACGTGAAAGCAGTAAGTCCTACTCTAAATCTAATTGTGTGTCAGTTTTATCAAAAATCACAAATATATCACCTAAGAACAAATACTGTTGCCAGGCCTTCTCTCATACAATTGTATTCAGGATATGTGCCCGTGGCTAAGAGTTAAACAGGCTTGAAATCCAAGTGACAGCTCAGTTTTTTAAAGATACTTAATGTAGCATGCGTAGAAAATAATACTTTTTAAAAATCTTCTATTTGGTCAGTCTGATAAGAAATCATGAAGAAGAACTAACTGTTCACTTCATACCACCAGTGGTTTTTACAACCACTGCTGTATCTGCTCCTAGTTTGTTTCTCAAGTTCAGGTTCCCAGGGCTCTGTCTTTAAAGAGTAAGTTTCAGTGGTTATGCAAAAATGCTTAGCACTTGTCCTACCTTATCTATGCTGCTTATTCAGTAATTAATAGATTTCCTGCTCCTTGGCTCTGTTTGGACCACTCCAGTTAGCTTTCCAAGAAATCCATCCAAACCCTAAATACTCCTATGTGGGTGGTAGGCAGGCAGTTCAGTCTTTTGGCTTTGGATACAAACACTCCTGATTATGTTTGCATCTCACCAGTGCAGCACAACTTGCCATGAAGGAATTCCTCTTCTACAAGATGCTTCTTTTAGAGTGTGATGTGTGACTTGTCTCATCTGTTCAAAGGACATTAAAAAATCCCCCCAAAATGAGGGCTTCTAGGCTTTCCCTTTGCTTGTGGTCTTTCTGCAGATTTAAATTTGTGCAGTGGATTGCCCAAGGTCAGGTTCTTGATTAACATCTAATGTTATACATTCTGATTTGCCAAATACATAAACAGATAGCAAAAAAATACTACACTTCCTTTACTAAAAATGTCAGTTTTAGTATAATTTTTAAATTATGCAATATCAAAAGAATGCTTTTTCAACAAATACTGTCAAGAACTAAAAACTAGGACTGCTGTGCACATTGTGAAACCATTGAGATTTTTACTTCATGTACTACTCTTTCATTTAAACTTCCTTTTTTTTTCAGTCTCACTTTATTTCTGCACTGACAGTGGTGTTTGTGAACTCCAAATCCCTCTCTTCACTTAAGATTGATGACACACCCGTGGATGATCCATCTCTCAAGGTTCTGGTGGCTAACAACAGTGACACCCTCAAACTGTTGAAAATGAGCAGCTGTCCTCATGTTTCTCCAGCTGGTAAGCTGCTGTGGTTTTGGGGTTAGCCTCTTTGGGATTTTTTAGTGGGTTGATTGGGATTTTTTAATGCATGCATTAAATTCTGTCTGAAACCAGTGCACCTCTGAATACATACGAGTGGAGTAAGAGGGAAGATGAGTATGGTATTACCAGCTGGTGGTCAATCCATCTATCCTACCACTTCACAGTGACTACTGGGGTAATGATAAAATAGTGTGTGTCTCTTGTGGGCAAATAGTTAACCTCATGTGGAACTTAATGAGAACATACCAAATGATTGTGCTCTATTTGTGCAATGACAGAGTATTCCAATATAAGGAAGTTTTTTTTGAATACAAGTTTCTTTTCCATACTTTGTTACGTGTGGGTTTTGACTGTTGCCATGCCATGGCTTAGGAAGATGTTGGTTTAGTAATTGTGATAGAAAGTCATTGCTGGAGAGAAACTGCAAACAGCATCAAAAACAGGAGATGAGACTGAACTGTGCAAAACTTCTACAGTCACCAAATGTACTTCTCTAACACTCTTAAGTGTGTCTGTTACAAGAATGAAGCCAGCTCATTCCAGAACAAAATCATTCAAGATTTGTGGTAGACTTACACAACACACAGCAAATTTAAGATTTATTCACAGACCATCAGCTTAACACTTAGAGTTTTCTACTGAGAAAGAGAAGAGGAATTGTAAATGAAGTGCTGGCAACTTAGTGTGATTCCTCTTCTGAGGATGAGTAGAAACTATAGAAACCATAACACCATAACTTTCTCCATGCAAATACATTGCAGCTATAAATGCTAGGTTTATTATCTGTCAAATTCACCAGCAGGATTCCTACAAGGGAAAAGCAGTACTGTTGCAGAGGGCGTGTTATTGTAGTGATAACAAACAAAACAAACTTAATACCTTTTGTAAGTGTAGCTCTCAGACAGAGCCTGGTGTTTGGCTTTGTATAAAGAAGTCCTGAAAATGCAGGAGTGGTGTTTTGCAGCAGCCTGGCCTGGCAAAGTGTTTGTGGAATTAACTGCATAATTGCCTCCTCCAAGCTTTCTGGTTGTAGATGGGGTTTGTTTAAATTGGCTTGAGGGACTGGCTTTTCCAGCCTAAAATTGTTTTTTGAGAATCCTTGTGTCTGAGAAGTGCAAGAGCCATAACAGCTGTGTCTGTTAAGGGGAAAAGGCTTCAGCAGTAATTTGTAGCTAGGCAGGGAAGGTAATTTCCTTGGACTTGGATCAAAGAGTAACCTGTCAGCTCTAGCAGAGTTGGCTGGTTTGTGGATAATCCTTGCTAGAAGGCTTCATTGGAACATCATACACTTGGTAATTTGGGAGGAGACATGGGTGTGTTCTGATTGATGTATCTCGCATGGTTGTAAATTGAAGGAACAATGCGTAGGAAATGGTCGTGCCTGTTAAAGGACATGTTCCATCCTCCATGTTCTTCATGGAGGATGAATAGATTGGGGTAAGATGCATTAGTAACAAAACCAGGGAGTGCTTGGGGTAAGATGCATTAGTAACAAAACCAGGGAGTGCTGAGCAAACAGTAGGGGAGTTTAATTGCTTAATTCAGAAAAGGGTGTGCCTTGAGATGGAAAAGAAGGTGGATGCACTGGGTTTGCATGGCACTTGTTTTGTGGGGCTGTGAGAGGGCTACAGGAGTGGTTTCTGTGAAAACTGCCAGAAGCTTCCTAATGTCCAGCAGAGCCAAGGCCAAGCCCATCAGTGACAATGGTAGTGCCTCTGGGATAACCTGTTTAAGAAGGGGGAAAAGGTACTGCAGGAGAGCAATTGCAGCTGGAGACAAGAGTGAGAATACATGAGAGAAACAACTGCAGACACCAAGGTCCATGAAGAAGGAGGGGCAGGAGCTGATCCAGGTGCCAGAACTGAGATTCGCCTCAGTCCATGGTGCAAACCATGGGGAGGCAGCTGTGCCCCTGCAGCCCATGGAGGACCACAGTGGAGCAGAGGTCCATCTGCAGCCCATGGAGGACCTCATGTTGGAACAGGTGGATGCTGGAAGGAGGCTGTGACCCTGTGGGGAGCCCATGCTGGAGCTGGTTTGATGGCAGGAATTGACCCTGTGTGGAACACTGGAGTCTGTTCCTGAAGGAGTGCATGCCATGGAAGAGACCCATGCTGGAGCAGTTTGTGAAGAACTGCAGTCTGAGAAGGACTCCTGCTGGAGAAGTTCATGGGGGACTGCTGCCATGTGAGGGACTCCATGCTAGAGCCAGGAAAGAGAGTGAGGGGTGGTCTCCCCCTGAGGAGGAAGGAGTGGCAGAGACAATGTCTGAAGAACTGACGACAGCCCCCATTCCCTGTACCCCTGTGCTGCTGGGAGGGAAGGAGGTAGAGAAAATCATGAGGAAGTTAAGCCTGGGAATAATAAAGGAGTGACAGGAACGTCTGTTAAGATTCCGTTTTATTTCTCATTACCCTACTCTTATTCAAGTGATAATACATTGATTTCCCCAAGCTGAGTCTGTCTTACCCATTATGGTAATCGGTGATCTCTCCCTGTCACCCTTATCTTCAGTCTCGAGTTTTAAACTGAATTCTCTCTCCCCTGCCCAGCTGGGGAAGGGAGTGATTGCACAGCTTTGGTGTCCAGGGAGGGACAACCCACCAAGTGGAACAAAGAAAGAAAGAAGCTGGTAAGTGGATAGTTGGCTTCAAGAGCAGGCAGGCTGCAAAGATGAGACTGTTGAAGGAAAAAGTGACCTGGATTTTTTTTGTAATGGGGATATTGTAATTAGCAGGCTGCTATAAATATAGAAAAGCTTTATGGAAACAAAAGGGCTGTGAGTTGCAAAACTAATTACTTATAGATGCAATTAAAATGTCTTCAGATTGGAGGAGGGGGGAATGTTCATTTCTAGGTCAGTTCTCAAGAAATTTTTTAGTGAAGGACAGAGAAGAGTAATGAAAGTAGAGCAAGAGAGACTCCACTACTGCAGGGATAAAGGAAAAAGGTTGATATCAAATAGTGAATTGATCGAAGTTACTGTGTAAAGATAAAGAGGCATGTTTGAATTTGGGCTGGAGAAACAAAGGCAGTGATGTATTTCTAAATCTTTGTGAGCTTATCTGAAGTTACTTCTGTTTGTTGTTCCCACTCTGAAACACCAACTGTTGGAACAGAGGCAATGGAATGTGTTCCTGTAAAGGTGGTATTGTGCTGTGGCATGGGATAGGAGGGCTACTTCTCTTGGGGTAGGAGTTGGGAAGCAGAGCCGGTGTTAGGTGTGCCTTCATCAGGGACATCATGAGTCAGGGATTTTTTTGATGCAACTCTGCAGTAAGATCAGAGAGCAGAGCTGTTTACCTCTCAGTGGCACAGAGGTGTGGGCAGTGCCTAGGGGTGTTCTGTGAAATACGTGGGCTCCAGGCAGGTGCTCCAGTAGCTGCCTACACTGTATGCATTGTCAGCTCTTTATATAGGGTGCATAGTTGCATTGACAGACCATGTATATCCAGTTCTAGACCCATAAAAATCACAGTAAGTTGTACCCCAGCTCTTCCCTTTTTGCATTGCACTGGTCCATAGTGTACCCCTAAAGTTAACAAAGATTTATGGAAGGATGGCAGCCAGGACAACAAGCTTCTTTTAGATGAGAAAATGTATATGGATCTTGAAACTGCCTAAAATATCTCAACAGACCTAGGTATTCTGAAGCAGCATGTCTGAGTTTCCTTAGAGAGTGGTCATAGTGACCCTTCTGATTCATGCAATGTTTTTGCAGTGATGTTTTTAAGAAAGTGTTTCTATGCTCAGAATAGGCTTCCCTAAATTTAATAACTGCACTTTAAAATAACTGCTGTTTTCTGAATTTCTTCCTGTTGCTTCAGTGTATTGAGCTCAGGTTTTTCAGTTTCATCTTAAATGCTATGTTCTCATCCCTTCTCTTAATGGAAGGGCCGTATCCTACATTTCAGGCAGTTTTCTGGGTCACATGAAATGCAGAGGACTGAATGCTGTTCTTAATGCTTTTTTTTTTCAGTATTGTTACCAGTATAATACCATCGCTTGTATCTACAAATAGTGTGAGTGGAAACCTTAGACTGACCCGGATTCTCTTTTTAATATTTTGTCTTCTGTGAGCTGCACTGAATATTGAATCATTAAAGAGAATCTGAAAATTGCTGGTTTTGAAATTACTGCTCCAAATGTCTACTGTTTTGCCTCTTTTTTGCTGTAGCTTTTCCAAATTTAAGCATTTATACTTTCCTAGAAAAAATAAATATGACAGCAGGAGCCTCTCTATTGAATTAAAATCTAACATTTATTTTACATTTGCTTTCTTCAGATGACAAATTTCACTCACGGTTGCTTTGTCAGCCGCAGAGCACTCAGCAGTTCTTCCAAGCTGGCTAAGGAAATAGTTTTATCATGAGTAAGCACCTTTTACAAAAGTGAGATTGAGTATATGTAGTCTTACAACAGAACAGTCAGAATATGCTATTTATGTATTTGTCACTTCTGTTCATGTGTTTGTTCACTTCTTTCTGATTCCCAGCAAAACAGAGATGTAGTCACATTGTGTGTGTCTGTCTCACACGTTGGTACAAAGAAGTCACAAGATCCTGCCTGAGAAAAAGATTAGTGTTCTGATTGGCCAGTTTGATTTGGTTTTGATTTAAGGTCTTGGTTGGACGTTTGAAACAGGTGCCCATAGCACCCTCCTGCCACACAAACAATTCCCTCCCATGTTATGTTCAGTCATCAGTGCCTTTATCTGTGTAACCCTTGCATGGTGCTGTCTCTCCCAGGAATCCTCTGTGTGGCTGACCAGTGCCACGGCTTGCGAGAGCTGGCGCTGAACTACCACCTGCTGAGCGACGAGCTGCTGCTGGCTCTGTCCTCGGAGAAGCACGTCAGGTTGGAACACTTGCGCATCGACGTGGTCAGCGAGAATCCCGGACAGACTCAGTTCCACACCATTCAGAAGAGCAGCTGGGACGCTTTCATCAAGCACTCTCCTAAAGTGAATTTAGTCATGTACTTTTTCTTGTACGAGGAGGAGTTTGACCCGTTCTTTCGGTACGAGATCCCCGTCACTCACCTGTACTTCGGCAGGTCGGTCAGCAAGGACGTGCTGGGCCGCGTGGGGATGACGTGCCCACGCCTGGTGGAGCTGGTGGTGTGTGCCAATGGATTGCGGCCGCTGGACGAGGAGCTGATCTGCATCGCTGAGCGGTGCAAGTACCTGTCGGCCGTGGGCCTCGGGGAGTGTGAAGTCTCCTGCAGTGCCTTTGTGGAGTTCGTGAAGATGTGTGGTGGTCGCCTCTCGCAGCTCTCTATTATGGAGGAAGTTCTGATTCCTGATCAGAAATACAGCTTAGAGCAGATTCACTGGGAGGTTTCAAAGCATCTTGGTAGAGTCTGGTTCCCAGACATGATGCCCACTTGGTAAAGTCCTTAAAAGACTCCAGGGCGAATGGAGTAGCACCTTAAACCCAAGCTTACCATATTGCAATTTCCTGTATAAGCTTATTTAATAATATAGATTTTGCTGCAAGTTAATTAATGGTTTGATTAGAAAATTAATTTTTCTTTCAAAAATTGATTTGGAACTTGAGAACCAAAAGAGTTCACAGCTCCAAAACCTGTTTTCATCCAAACAAAATTCAGGTTTCTGTTTTATATTTAGTCTTTGTCATTAAAGGTGACTTTAAATATTTTTGGAAATAAAAATTATTTAAAATATTGAAATGCACTTGAAAAATACCAGTTTTAATATGGTGTTTTTCTTTGATTTAGATTAGTAGTATTGGACACAATCATATTTGATCTTAAAATGCCAAGTGAAACCCCACCAAAATGGCATGTTTTGTTGCAGACTGTAGCATTTCTAAATCCAGTCACCTCGATGACAAGATGACGATAATGAGGAGTGTTTAGTAGCCTGTGAAATACACACATTCTGTTAAGTCATAAAGGCAAGAGCAATATACAATAATAAATTTAGACAACTAAAGTAGTAAGTTTACCACCTTATTCAACAGATTATTGGATCCATCTAAAATGTGTTTAGAGCGCTAACAGCCAGTAGTGTGAGCTACCAAAAGTGGTGTGGGGTTTTTTCCACGCTCTATGCATTTTAATGTAGTTTGCTTATGGGGTCTCAGATCTGCGTCTAAACCTGTTTTAAGGTATTTTATGTCTAGCTCAGGAAGCGAAAGCATTCTGGGGAAAAATGTAGATACATTGTATTTAAAACCACACTGGAGTTAATGAGCTTTTCTTGCACATTACCCGGTTTGGCAGCGTACGGTGAGATGGAATAATGTATGGTTTGTGAAATGAACCCAGCAATGTTATTCTGGTGACGTGGGTGTGAGCAGTGCAAGGTGAGAAAGGTAAAATTTGAATGTTGACCAAGAACCTTTTCACAAAACCTTAGACCTTTTGGCTGCTTTCAGTTTGACAGAAATGACATTGGAACAGTTGCTTAAGCTGTATAAACTAACTGTATACTGTAAATCTGTTTCAGAAATGTTTATGTATAAAGTGGATGTTTAATAGGTGATAATTTTTGTATTCCTTTAATTGAGCTAGTTCTGTCATTTCATAATATTTAACAATTCAAAAGGAGTAGACTTGGTGGAGTAGAGCAATAGGCAAAAATCTGTTTTGAACATTTGATAAATCAGTTTTAATAAAGAAAGTTTTTAGTTTGTAAGTGGTGTAGGCAAGACACTGCCTGTGATCTGGACGTGGCTTGTGACTTCATTTCTTACTGCCAACAGTTATTTTCTCTTTGAGGTTGCTGATGGTAACACTGAAGTGTTGCCCAGACCGCTGCATGTTTGAGAGATGTGGTCAGCCCTCAGCAAGGCAGAGCTGCCCCCGCGGGCTGGGTTGAGCTGCTTCTCACTTGAGCTGTACAGCTCCTTCTGTAGTAAGTAGATTTCCTTCATCTCTGATTTCAGTCATGTTTATCCGAATGTATAATTTAGTGTAATACACTTATGAGTGTATTTAAGTTCATAACTATATTTTGAGCAAACAATGCTCAGCGGACTGGACATCTTTATAGGGGAGTTGTATGTTTCTGTAGAGCTTTGATTTAAAAATTGCATTTTATGAAATACGCAGTTTTTGTATTAGAATTTGTTAAATTAATGTAATACTATAATTTGCTTTTATTTGTACAAAAGGTGTCAATATATTTAGTCCGTAAAAGTAAAAAAGCTCTGTGTCTTTTATAACCTGACTCTCAGAACTGTCTGTATGAGAAAGGTCAAGTAACGCTTGACATCTGGGGAACAGGATTTAGTTTTCACTAAATTAATGTGAACTAATACCATTAGTAATGGAGCCAAAAGCTCTTTGGACCTCGACTGCAATGTCCCGATGCTGCAAGGTAAGTCACCAACATGTTGGTAGTGGGAATAACTGAAAGGCAAGGCACAGCCTCAGTACCTGATCCCAATCCTGGCAGTCACACCTTGGAAACGCAGCGTGCTGCTGCTCACCGAGAGGCCTCTGTCAGGCCCTGGCGTGAGGAATGTATTAGGAGCTGAAGGTGGCAGGGTTGGCTGTAGCAGAACCGCTTCCCCAGCAAGGTAACTGGCTGGCTTTGAGAAGCCTGTGTTGTTGCACTGACTTCAAAAAATCTTTCTGAATACCGGTCATTAAGATGTTCAGCACAGGAAAACTGCTTAAAAGCAGTTGTCTCCCTGTTCCATGGGAGGTCAGCAGGTTTTATACATTGAATCAATTACTGCATCCTTTGTTCACAAAATCCAGCTATGACATAAACTTGCTAGGCAAGCCTACAGAGCTTTTTGAGCAAATTCTGTGTGTCTTCATTTGCTTTCTAGATGTTGAAACAATTCAAATACATAAAAATCATGGCACAAGTAGTAAAGAGTACCAAGACTCACAAAGTTCACTAGAAACAGGAACATCAGTGACATAGATGTATCATTTCTCCTGAGCTCACCGTTATTATCAGAATAATAACAAAACTCAGGTGTTGGCTTGGTTGTCCAGTTTTGGGTAGGAGTTAATGTGTGCAGTGACAAATCTTACCTCTGAATCCAAGTGGTTACAAGTTAAAATACTGAAGGCAGCAGGTCTCCTAATCCAGGATGTCTAGGGGAGGGTTTGTGAGGCAGAGGGCAGAGAGCATCAGTACCAGTGACCTTCATTGCACGGTGCTTTGAGAAACAGGAGCAGCACACTCCATTTGACCTCGATGGATGATGAGCCAGGATCTGCTTTGCTGGAGAACCCTCATGGAATGAAGTGTGGCTGACAACCCTGAGCAGCCCACAGGTGTGGCACTGCAGCAGTTTTGCACAAGACCAGAGTGCATACTTGGAAATCATGTAGCACAGAATGATTGTATATTTTTGCCCTCAAGTGCAATGTGCATCAGAGCACGGAGCAGAACCAAGCAGAGTCTGAAGTGATGAACAAGTGCTGTATTCAAAGTGTGGTTAAAGACTGAGTGACAGTGACACAATGCCAGGCTTATCCTTGAGCCTGGCAGTCTGGACAGTGCCCTGGCTCCTACTGTTGGGCAGGTGCTAATAGAACCTGGCTGTGAGTGAACTGAGGTGAGATCCTACCTCCTGCTTCCTGTGTGAAGTGAATAGGTGGTTTTCAGTCACAAGCAGATGATCAGGTGCACAGAAGTTGTGACATCCAATGCTTCCTTTTTAAGTTTTAAAAGTGTCATTTTTATGGATCTATTCTGGGCTTGTCTAAACTTTGCAGAATTGGCCTATTTATCATCTCCGGTTTTTTCGGATCTAACTCTGTAGGCCTAACCCAAGGATTGTGGATTCTACCTACAATAGAACACTACACTCAACAATTTCAGCTCATTCCAGTGCAGTCATTCCAGTTTAACTGCAACAGCAGCACCTCCTTCAGGACTGCAGTTTGTACTGGTGGAGTTTATTCCCACCCAGCTGTGCATTCAGTCTGACCAATCAATTAACACACAAACTCCCCCCCCAGCTGAGAGAAGCCAAGAAAGTGAGAGCTCTCTCATAAATACTGGCCTCAGAAGGAACTCATGTGTGTTATAGAAAGGGCAGCTCCTGCATTGGCAATTAGTACCTTTAAAGTGAGGATAGTGTTCAAAGTGTGAAACAGACACATGTGACTGCATGGAGGAATCCCCACATCACTGGCAGTTGATGTGCAAAGCCTGGTTCTGTGATCCTGTTTCCCCTTCAGAGCTTTGAACAGTGGTTTGTGATGTTGAGGCTTTTTCCTGGGAAGACAAAACTGGGTTTAACCACATTGAGGGTTTCAGAGACATAAAAACATGCATCAGTGAGAATGTAACTACTGTAGATGGGCTTGCTGCAGCCCCTCTGACTTCCCTAGAGCCTCCTGGATTACCTTCCTGGTGGTGCTAGGTGCTGCTCTATTGCTGGCTGGGGTGAAACCATGAGTGTCTTAATCCAAAGCTGAGCTCAGTCACAAGGGCCTGTGACTTTGGCTAAAAAGACTCAAGTCTTTCAGTCTGTGGTAAAAGATGAAGATTCACCCACCAGTGGAAGTAGCAGCTTGAAGAGAGGTGTGCTCATCCTCTCATTCTTCTCCCATTACCTCTCATGCTCATCCCATTACATGATAATGCAATTCAACTAATTAATTGTAGTGACTTTCTGAATACAAGGGTAATTTTCTGCCATTTTTATTATTTGAATTCAAGCACTGTGTAGTCTCCTCTCTGGCTGCAGCAGGGGTATTAGCTTGGCTTACGCCAAATGAAACATGAAACTGCAGAGTTTCATTCCTGTGTTCCTGCTTGGCCACAAGGCAGCAATAACCTCTGCAGGAGCACAATTCATCCCACAGCTAGTTTAAAAAAAACATCCCAAGTGAGCAGTGAACACTTGGAGATGACTACATTGCTGCAGCTGTGGTTTTTCAGTGTGCAGCCACCTCAGTAGTTTGCAGAAAGCCAGTGTTCATCTGGCTTTGGTCCCTTGGGTTTAAAGGGAACTAAGTAGTTGCCAAAGTGCTCTAAGCTGAGCCTGGCACTCAAGGACAGCACAGCTGGCACAGCACCACTACTGCAAACATCACTGCCAGCAGGAGGCTGCAGTCACATTTTAGAGGCAGCTCTGTGACAAGCATGGATTTTTAACTCCGATGTTGATGCCCCACAAGCTGTCATTACGTCTTTCATATGAAGATTTCTATGCTTTTAAAAAAAATTTGAAAGGAATATACACAAGTTCTACCAAACTGACCCAACTGAAGCCTCAAGTAGACTTCAAGACAGTAGACTGGTAGAACACTGCAATTATGCATGAGTCAACATCAAGGCAGGCAGATTGGCTTTTATCTGTGGCATAGAACACACATGAAACTGAAGAAGAGTCAGCTGAATGGTGTTTACAGTGCAGCTGAAGGAAGCAGAGTGGTGAAAAAGCATCACCCATGCCCATCCTCCAGTACATTCACTGCCCTAGGCCCCAGCTGAACAAACCAGAGAACTACAGTAACAGCAGTGTAAGGCACATGTTGAAGGAACTGGACACATCCAGACACTCATGCTGAGCGAGTTAGTCCTTGTAACTTGTGTCCCCCCCTCTGCCGGTGGCCAGGTGCCATCTGCTGCCCTGTGGCCATGCATGCAGAGACCCTGAGCCCAGAGCAGGCAGCTGCTCCCCCATTCCCTCTCTGGCACTGCAGAGCTCAGCCAGAGGAGCCACTGCAGTCTCCCCTCGGGCAGCAGGGGCCATGCTTACACAGAAGCTGGCCAGATCAGAGATGCTGAAGCATTCATGAATGTATTATACAGGATGTAAGAAAAAAATGCAGTCTTTGACCTGGTACAGCAAAGCCTTCCCAATACAATTTTTACAGTCAGCAGTGAAACATACAACCCTTTCACATCATCATGGTAGAGCTCCAAAATCCTTAAGAATATTTTGCCATAAAGGCAAGTTTTGTTCTTCAGTAGACAGTCATATACCAGAGGATGCTTTGCTGCCAACAGGCAAAGGGACCTCTTCATAAATTATTTTGAGATAAGGGGACTTCATAGGTAAAAACCAGTATTCCAAGTTGTAGAAGAGGTAAAACTGATGATTCAAGATAACACGATCAATTATTCTGAAAAGATCCACGAAAAACTCTCTGACACTCTGATGAGGTTTGAATGGATTGTAAAAGTCTCTTATAGCTGCTGCCAGTGTCTTGTTTCCTTGTGGTCCAAAAATAGATGTTTCATTCCCCAGATAAATAGGTTCTCCACTGAATAAAATTATGCTGGTGTAGTTTGTTTGTATCTTCTTAAATACAGCTCCCAAGTCAGCTAGCTTCTGGTAGGTTCTCAGTATAAACTTGGAGCACTCATAAGAGTCAAACCACACTGTTGACTTTTTGTCAGGACTTGCTTGAACTGTCCAGGTCTCGTAGTAAATGCCAGTCTCATTGTCGTATTTTACCCATTGGGCCATTTCATTAAACATGGTTCCTGTAAGAGATGAAAGTAACTATTGCAGACATCAGGTAACAAATGCAGGATTCAAAATATTTTCCATCTGTTAAAAGGTTCACCTGCCTCCACTGCAAAAGTCTACCTACACTACCTCACCATACAGAGACACAAGGCTTAGGTAAGAGGGGCAAGGGAAAACCCACTGAATAAACTACATTTACATGCAGGTTATTTAAACTGTAATTCTTCTTCTTCCTGTAACTATGCCAGAACATTCAAACACCTGAGAACTGTGACACTTCTCATTTTGCATTATCCATGCAGACAAACAGGGCAGAGGTAGTACAGTCTACAAGAGATGCTGGAAAAATGCTCACCAGACCAATAGACATTTCTGCACTTCAAGTTTTAATTAAATTCAAAAATTCAGAGCAGATATTTTCATGTTTCTTCACAAAAGAGACACAGACTGAGACACCCTGCTGATTTAGCACAGCTGGCAAAGCTGAATTGAGCCAAATTATAGGTGGGATGTAAGACAACTAAGATGGGATGCTTTTTGCCAGCTCTCTGAAGGGAGCAAGTTCAGCTCATGATGCTGTTCATCTGTGCTTGCATCCACTCACTCTCTTTGACTAGAAATCTGACAGTTATTGTGAAATTCAGACAACTGAAAGCTCTCAGAAATGCTACTTCCTTCAAAGTTTCATGGAAATGGAAAGCAAGAAAGGTGAGGAAGACTGTAGCTATGCCTCTATGAGGCACCAGTATAGC